TTTTAAAAAATTATAATAAGTATGTACTCGTAAGTATGTGGCAATTCTGTTTAATTCAACTTTTGACTTTGACACTTCATCGATATTTTATTCCAATCTAAACACTGTAAATCATCTCTGCTTTACAATTTAAAATGTCGTCTAATAAATTATATAAAATTTGATATTTTAAAATATATGCTACAAGACGGTATGTCACGAGTTCTATTCCCGATGAGGTCATTAGATTTTTCAATTTACCTAATCTTTCTAATCGCACTATGACCCTGGAGTCGACTTAGCCTCTGAGAGAAATGAGAACCAGGAATCTTTTTTGGGGGGTAAAAGGCGGCCGGAGCGTAAGGCTGACAATCTCACCAACACCTCTGAGCCGATTGTCTAGAAAATGTAGGATCCTCGACGTCTCACATTCCTGTGGGCCTCAACGGTCTGTAACCAGGTTACCTTTACCGTTTATCTTTTATTTATCAAAAATATTCATATAATTATATCGCTTTCAGAGGGGGTGGGTGCCCCAGATTCGTGGCTGGTCCGGACTCCATCTCATCTCTCTCGACCCTGGTTGCTGGTTATGTTATAATCGAATTTAAAATTTCAGATACTGGGATTTTAGATCATAATCATAATGCTGATAAATATGTGAGCTTCTTAAAATAAGCATTTCTCTCGAAGCTGCTTTAATTTCGCGTCCTAGAATTTGGTGATAGTCACGCTGCTTATTATTCAATTGTTTGTAATTTAAAATGTGCCACTGCGCATTTCCCCTCCCACCAAGTGACATCATCACCCTAACCCCAGCCATCATGTTCATCAGTCTGACAGCAGAATTTGTGCAACACAGTAAAGAGGAGATTATTTTGTATTCAGGTCCCACAATGGAACGAGCTGTGGGTGGTTCGTTATTTACAGACACAATGAGTGTCACATATTCCTGCGAAAACTATGAGCAAGTTACAAACCTATTGTACTTGACTGTACTTGTACATTAAACTCAATGGAGCAGGGAAGCTGACAGTTATTCAACTTGTCAAAGGTACTCCGCCTTTTATGGAGCTCCAAGTTTCATTATCGTTTTCAAAATAATCTGTCACTGGTCCCTGTCCTGAGCCAAATGAATTCCATCCACATTTTAGCTCCCCATTTCTTGCAGATCCATTTTAATATTCTCACATCTACTTCTAGAATTTCCAAGTGCTATCTTTCCCCACCCCCCACCCAGGAATTTTGACTAATATTACTTATGCATTTATTTTCGGCATTTTTCAGTTCTCTAATTCATTTATGAGTAGAATATTTCAAAGTAACACATCTTGAACGTTATTTAGTAGCGCCGTTGATAACTGAACTGAGGATGTTCGAGAACAGGGTGTTGAGGAGAATATTTGGACCGAAGGGAGATGAAGTGACAGGAGGTTGAAGAAAAACTGCATAATGAGGAGCTTCATAACTTGTACTCTTCTCCAAGTATAATTAGAATGATCAAGTCACGGAGGATGAGGTGGGCAGGGCATGTAGCACGAATGGGGGAGACGAGGAATGCGTATAGGATATTTGTGGGAAAGCCAGAAGGAAAGATACCACTGGGAAGACCAAGGCGTAGGTGGGTGGAGAATATTAAAATGTACCTTAGAGGGAGAGGATGCTATGGATTGGATTGATCTGGCTCCGGATAGGGACCAGTGGAGGGCTCTTGTGAACACGGTAATGATCCTTCGGGTTCCATAAAATGCTGGGAAATTCTTGAGTAGCTTCAGAATTGTCGGCTTCTCCAGAAGGGCTCAGCTCCATGAGTAAGTAAGTAAGTTGATAACTGAAACTGGTCTGACCACTCACAGAATGTTAATATGTCACTTAAGATCGGCGGAAGAATTATGAAACCAAACGTAAATTTTAACGTTCCACGGTCTGATGACAATTATCTATTTCCAGCAGGTATTGATTATGAGGTAACACAGGTGAAAAGTGTTAATTAACTGCCGTTGCAAATATATCTCTGCTTTATTGGAATTGCAGAGTTGAGGGGCAGAAAACCTTAATTAATGGACATCTGTGGCGAGTAGAATCCAAGGCTTACGTCGTCGGTGTTTCGAGGAATATCATTCACTCACTCACTCACTCAATCACTCACTCACTCACTCACTCACTCACTCACTCACTCACTCACTCACTCCCTCACTCACTCACGGAGCTGAGCCCTTCTTGAGAAGCCGCCAATTGTGCAGCTACTCAAGAATTTCCCAGCATTTTATGGAACCACAAGGTTCATTACCGTGTTCACAAGAGCCCTCCACTGGTCTCTATCCTGAGCCAGATCAATCCAGTCCATACCACCCCATCCGATCTCTCTAAGATCCATTTTAATATTGGTCACCCACCTACGCCTTGGTCTTCCCTGTGGTCTCTTTCCTTCTGGTTTTCCCACAAATATTCTATATTCATTCCTCTTCTCTCCCATTCGTGCTACATGCCCTGCCCACCTCACGGACAATTGCCTGAAAATGGCCTTGTAAGGCCATCAATTGATTGTAATTTTAATGGCATTTTAAAATANTTCTCATAAACAGGTCATCCCCAGGGGTCAGTGAGCACAGGCCAAAACCAAGCTTTCTATTTGAATCCCCGCACCTCACCCCAAAGTGACCTTAATTTCAGTTGTGCATCGTGAGAACTACTCGCCCCCCAACTGAGGCCAACTTCTGTGGCATAAATTTCATTTTATATTTCACCCCTCCTTATTTCTACCCTAATTTTATACCAAACCTCAACCGAAAACTCTCCCTTTCTTCTGTGGAATTTACGGTTTTACCACAAAATTTTAAGTCAGAAAATAACTACTCAGTCGCTTGTTAGGAAGGATTCCTCGCTGTAGGTTTCTTGTAAGGGAACGGTGAGATGGGGACACAAAAGAAGGGTAAAATTTCCATTCCATTTCTTCCTTCTCTTTCATGAGCCCTCTCTTCACTCTCATTAGCTTTACAGTACATATAAGAATGGTCTTTATGGCCATTTGATGTAAGGTAAAGTTCTCCCTGCCGGTCCCGGCAGCTGAGCGGTCTAAGGCATGTACTGTCTTCGCTCGCTCGGAAGCCGGGATCGTGAGTTCGAATCCCACTCAGGGCATGGATGTTTGCGTGCGTTTTTCTGTGTTTGTGTACAGGTAGAGGCCTTGC